GACAAACGACGTCCGCGCCGGCGCGACGGGGCGACGGGAGGAGGAGGGAAGCGTGGCGGACGCGGAGCTCCGACCTCGCGCCGCACTGGCGAGCGGGTCCCGCCACCCGCCAGACGGAGTGCGGGCCGGCTCGGGTTCCCATCCGTACGATCGGCAATCGCCCGGGTTGCCTGCCGTGGGCCCCGCCCCCTGCTCCGCTGGACTTTCCCAGTCTCCGGCCGCTTTCTCTGAGGCTGGAGCCGGCGGAGCCAGGCAGTACTAATGGATGAGCGAATGCACGAACGCCGGCCGTTAGGTTCCCTGGAGCTCAAGAACTCGCGGCGGCGGGGGTCGGGGGGCTCGGCGGGGATCCGGGCAGTTCCAGGCCTGGGCTCCACCCCCCCCATGAGAAGAGTGGGGACGGACTGAGAGGGGGGAAGGTGGCCGCGTGTCGAGGAGACAGTGGGGGTCGGAAGCTGGCAACTTGGAAGTTCCTTCCCCGACCCGTCGGTGCACGCGGCCGGCTGGAGTGGGAGGTGGTTGCTGGTGACTGGGGACGTCGCGGTCGGTGGCGGGTCCAGGTGGTTTCCAGTGTTCCGCGAGCCCCGCGATGGGCCGGGCTCGGCGTTCCAGTCGGGGGGGGGGAGGAGCGGGAGTCAGCGGGGTCATCACCCGCAGGTGGGGTGCGGGCCCGCGCCAGCCCGGGTAGGCGATCGCCCGCCCCCCCCCCCATGGCTTCCCCGAGCTCCCCACAAGTGCGCGCCCCGTCCCCTGCCCCGCGGCCGCCCAGCCCTGGCCGAAGTGGGCGCCGACCCTGGCGAGGCTGACCTTGCGCCCGGCGCTTTTCAAGCGTTTGTCTAGGAGGTCCTGTCTCCCGCGAGATTGACCGTCGGCCTTGACCGACGCCCGCTGCTCCTCCTCGAAGCCCCGCGGGGCGCCAGGCCGTCGTGCGGACACGGGGATGTCTCTAGAATCCTCACCGGCCTTGTGAGAGAAATGTTACCCATATTTTATAGGGGAGAAAGTGAGACTGGAAGTTACCTTAACCTAAAAAACAAAACAAAAGCCATGGAGCCAGGAAGTCGTTGGGAACATTTGTGTGCTCTTTCCAAAGTAGAAGCACATCTCTTTCCCAAACGGTGTTTCCTGTGTCACAAGAAGCAAGCGCAATGCTTGATGCCTAGTAAGTAAACGTTAAAATCGTACACCAACTTTCTTGGGGAGTACATAGTCTTCTGATTTGTCCTCCTTGAGGTATATTTTTCTGAAAACCATAGCAGAGGAAAGGAGAAATTTATTAACACATATTGACAAATCCCACCATCAAATATGTTTAACATTGGATAAACAAAAAGTAACCAGAACTCTAAAAATATTGTCCATTATTTGGAGAGAATAAAGCTGCTTTGGTGTTCACTGAATCCCAAGGGTTTTTTTCCCTAAGCTCCACTTGCTTGCTTCTTGAGATCTCTTTCTATTAATTTCACTGCCACAGCTATGTTTTGGACAAGCCATGAGCAAAGTGAAACAAGACTGTCTATTCTAGTAACATCCAAGGAACCTTGTCCCCAAACGATGTACACAATGCCCACAAGTGCCCCTGAGCTTCCATCCATTTTACAGTTGGCCTTGCTTAGGTCTGTGTGTCTTAAACTTGTCAGGGTCTCAGATTTGGTGGTACCCAGGTACTCTTGAAGTTTACTCCAAAAAGCTTTTGTTTCTGTGGGTCTTTATTGCTATTTTTTATTCAGAAATTAAAATGTTAAATACTTATGGACAACTTTCAAGTGAAGACATAAGCTTTTATTACTATTTTCCAAAAGGATGGTTTCCATTTTGGTAAATCTAAATATCAAGCTTTATACAGTCATTTCTTATCAGTTTCTTCATCCAATCTGTTGTAATGTTGTTTTAGTTGAAATACATGAAGAAATTCAGACTCACATAAGTAGATAAATTGGTAAAGGAAGGACCTCATGTACTTCCCTGAAATAGTTTCAAAGACATGTCCATGAGATATAGGTTGAGCATCCCTAATCTAAACATCTAAAGTACTCTAAAACAGTGCTAATGCTCAAATAAGTTTGGGTTTGGGGTTTCAGATTTTCAGATTTTTCCAAACTCCAAAAAAGTTATGGCCCCAACTGTTTCAGATGAATAATACACAATCTGTAAGCTTGAAAGTCTTTGTTCTAGGTGTCTTCTTAACACCTTGCACTGGAAAGGATCTAGTAAGCAGATCCAAAGATAGGTTTCACAAGGGTACATGGAAAAAAGTTAATTCTAGACATTGGTAAGCTACATGGCATAGAATACTTGGCAAGGCACAAAAGTTACCCTTTTTGTCACCTAGTTTTCCAACTTGGCCATCCAGGCTGTTACCAAGTAATTCATGAAAAATTACTTTGAAATCTATTAATATTACCATCCCTTGTATTGGTAACAGTTCCATTGCAACTGGGGTAATGATTTTACTTGGATATTATTCTGATCTACATCCTGTAAAACATAAATACTTCTACTGGGACCTTCATGGCTCTTTTTTAAATTTTAATTTTTGTCAGTGGGGAAACTTTAATTCAAGGGCCACATTGCTGATGCATGGCTGGTACTCTATAGCAAGAGGCATGGCTTTTTTCTGACTAATTGGAAATAGTGTCTCCGACTTCCTTCACAGTTTTTAACTTGGTCCTCTGTATCCATAAATTGGCTTCAAAGAATCTCTTAAACCTTCTGAAATTGGTCAAAATGTTTTTGCTCATGAGCTTTCATAGAAAAAAAAGATTGGATATTTTCAGCACGTTCTTAGCTGCCAACCGTTTTTAAAAGTATAGGAAAAAATTTTAATAAGGCAACTCGTTTGAAGTGGGTCTTAATTCTTTTCCAAGTGAGTTTTGAACTTCTCAAGAACATGTAATTAGGACTGAGGAAGTACAAGGTCTGCTTGTTTTTTCCCTTGACATCTTTTCTAATGGTTCTCAATCCCTCAAATGCCCTTAAAGAATAAAAATCTTTTGGTTTTAAATTTCACTTTCTTCCTTGTCATCATATACAGTGGTTTAACTTTTAACTTACCACCAATAAAAATTTATTTCAAGCTATGTAAACCCTGCTCCATTTATTATTTGAGATTCTCAACATTGTCATGAGGTTTGACCGGGAATTTTTGTCTTATCACTGCAAGCATCATCTTGAATTGGAAAGAAAATGGGTGATAGTGGATCTTCTATTTGGTATGTTGCCAAATCAAGTGAAATGTTCCCCCTGGAAGGAATATTTTCTTAAACGAAAAACTAATTCAGTAACAAATATAAATAAAAGGGAAAGGGACCTTTTAAGAAAGTTTAGTTAAATGAGATCTCCTTCCAAGCAAGTTGCAATTTCCTTTGGTGTTGAATAATATAGAATGGCAAATGAAATCCATCAATCCAGACAACTTCTATACCAGCTCCTCTATACCACATTTATTATTATTTAGTATGGTTTGTGTTCTGACAGCATAGCCAGCATTGCACTTACTAGTCGGAGACATAATCCTGGCTCTAAATACGTCAAACATACATTGATTTAGTTTTGTCCTCATCAGCTCAGCTTCTTAATCGCAAAACTAGACCAAAGAGCCTACAGGTATTTATAATAGTAATAACATTTTCTCTTGTAGTTTTATGAAGTAATTGTCCCATCTGGATTTAAAAAAAAAGAGGGAAGGATGAATCAAATAAAGGCATTCTAAGTTAACTGCTTATTTCAATGCATACATCTTTGTGGTAAAGTGCGTGCCATGATTGATTGACAATATGAACTGAAAATGCTTGTTGGATGGAATCTTATCTCCAGTCCCTGAGAGCCCATCAGCATTGAATCTAGTAATTGTGGTGGCAACAAAAAGGCTCTTTACAGGGAACTCTTGCCAGTTTCAGACATGTATAACTTACCTGTTTGTACTCTGACTATAACAGAAAAGCACTGAGGTCCCTAAGTGTATTTGCAAATACAATATACTGTAGTGGATAAAAGCTTAGATCTGTGTTGTTTAGCAGGACTGGTTTTAATCTAGGTGGTTAACCCTGGTAAAGAACCTTCTTGTATCTCACATTCCCTCCTTCAAAATGTGGGGACGGGGAAGAGGCCTCTGATTACATGCCTTAAATAAAATAACAATAATTGCTAATATAGTTTTGAGTTCCGGTGGTATGTCATGCATTTAATGTTCAAACATTCCTCTGATGTTAATACTACTATTATCTTCAATTTTCAAACAAACTAACAGGCAGAGGTTCAGTAATGTGGCCAAGATCAAACAAATGGTAAATGATAGGCATTTAAACTCAGGTGGTATGACTTTAGAGCATGTAAATTCAACCATTCACATGTATGTAGAACACTTAACACAATGCCAGACACTTAGAATAGGCACTCAATAAAAGGCAGCTACTGTTCTTAAGCACGTAAATGGCATAAGCAAAGCAGTCCTTATTCTCAAATATACAATTAAAACCTTTAAAGTATTTTCTATTTTTTGTTTCCCTTGAATTCTGTTTAACTTAAATCAATGTCTGTCTTTTTTTTAGATTTATATTTTTTTAAAAACTCATTTTTTAAAGTTTTAGCTCCTTGAATTTTGGAAAACAGCACATATCAATTAGATGAAGCATTAGTCTGGCTTTTTGCTGCTTGTACTATTTTTTTTTCCCAGTGACCTTGGAGTCATTATTTATAGTTTTCTTTGAAGATCAGAGAACCTTAGGTTGCTTATTGCCCTAATCTTCAGGAAAGATCTATGACAGATTTTTTTCTGATCTCAAAGAATATATAAAATCATATGAAACTGCTCAGTT